TTGGTCGTGCGGGTGGCAGCCACTCGATGTGTCCCTTTCACATCGATGTTTCCCTCTCTCTCTCTTTCTCTCTCTCCCTCCCACTCTGTCTGTACAAAAAAATGGAAAAATGTCCTCGGGTGAGGATAAAAAAAAAAAAAAGAAAAGAAAATTTAGTTCCTTGTTACACTAACCACATTTCAAGTGCTCATTAGGCACGTGTGATTTGTGGCTACCATAATGGATAATACAGATATGGAACACTTTCATTATCTTAGAAAACTGTATTGGATTATAAATTCTGTTGGTCTACAATTATAGATTAATGTTTAATATTAATCACATACCTATCCGTCCATCTATCTAATTTATTTTTTATGCATTTTAAAGTTGCAGACATCAACAACCTCTCCCTGGAACTCTTCAGCATGCATAGCATTAACTACATTTCAATACTTATTTATGCTTTAATAGATAAAATTTTACATATAGAACAAATTTTAAAGTATCAGTCAATGAGTATTGACAAATGTGTACATCTGTGTAATCCAAACTCCAGAAAGACACAAAACGTTAACCATTACCCCCCAAGTTTCCTTATTCTTCTTCCCATTTAGTCTCCACCTCCACCCCTACTTTCTGATTTTTTTCCATATGAACTAGTTTTGTCTATTCTAGAACATCACAAATGAAATTATACTTTTTAATAAATCTATTTTGTAGATTCTTAAGGTTTTTTACATAAACAGTCATGTCATCTGTGAATAGAAATAGTTTACTTCTTTCTTTCTGATCTATATGAAATCAATTTGATTTCTTTAACAGATATTTGACTAGTCATATTTTCTATTTCATCTTGTCTTAATTTTAGCAGTCATAGTTTTTAAAGATATTTATTTATTTTATGCAAGCCGTTGAATTTATTGGCTTAAAGTTATTCATAATATTCTTTTATCTATTTAATGTCTGTAGTCTCTGTAGTGATGTTGTTATTGGAGAAATGCATGGATAATCTTTCTCTATTGCTAGTGGGAGGGGGGTTCTTCAGGTACCACTGGAATAAGCATTTCTGGAGGTCCCCATGGGAGGGTGGGATGTGGTAGAAAGCTTTATTTTCATGGAATTATGTCCCTGGGATTATGAAGTCCCATTTCCCTTAATCCAGTCCTGGAAAATATGCATCTGGGGGATTCAGTATAGCTAGAAGCAAAGTCAGAGTCCAAAGTTTCTGTTTCATGGTGCAGCTGGGTCCAGTACAGCATTAAGCTAGTTACAATCCATCCCTCCATTGTGTGGGGTCCACATGGCTGATAAATGCAGAAGTGTAAGAGTCCCGCAGGCCAGGAGTTAAGCACAACACACTAAGAGGCAAGATCATGAACCAAGAGAGCACACTCCTCTGTTTAGGAGATTAAATATCTTAAATCTTCCCATGCTTGCATTGGCCATGCCTACTCTAGCCAATGACTTGTTCCCAGGTGTGACTGACAGGCAGATACCTTCCCTAGGCTTTACTGGGCATGGGTCTAAACTACAGCTTCCTGACAAAGCTGCACAGATGGCATGCCCATACTGTTTGGCCTTCCCTTTGTTCCCTTCCAGTTATTAATAACTGGTGAAATTACAACAGTATCAATATCACCTTTATTTCTAATATTAGTAATCTGTGTCCTCTTTTTTGTTCTTGATTAGCCTGCCTCCAGGTTGATTAACTTTGACTAGACATTTAGAACTTTCAGCCCCACTTTCTAACCTCAGGGGAGATGAGAGGGGCTGGAGCTTGAGGTCAATCACCAATAGCAATGATGTAAATGATCATGCTTACGTTATGAAACCTGCACAAAAATCCCAAAACAACTGGGTTTGGAGAGCTTCCAGATTGCTGAACACACTGAACTGCTGGGAGGGCAGTATGACCAGAGAGGGCATGGAAACTTCCTTCCCCTATAGCTTGCCCTGTGCATCTCTTCTATTTAACTGTTTCTGAGCTTCATCCTTTATAATGAACCAATAAACATAAGCAAAGCGTCTCTTGAGTTTTGTGAACCATTCTAGCACATAATTGAACCTAAGGGAAGACTCATGGAAACCCTGGATTTATAGCCAGTTGTTCAGAAGTACAAGTGGCAACCTGGGACTTGTGACTGGCTTCTGAACTGGGGCAGTTTTGTGAGACTGAGCCCTTAACCTGTGAGGTTTGTGCTAACTCCTAGTAGTTAGTGTCAGAATTGAACTGTAGGACACCCAGTTGTTGTCTGCAGAGAATTGGAGAATTATTTGGGATGGAAAACCCACACACATTCACGTCAGAAGTTTTGTGAGTAAAAACTGCTCAGACTATCCTATGAGTCTCAGCTTAAATTTCTGCCCTGGCTTCCCTTTGCACTTGAATTCATTACCATGGTTTTTATAAAAGCCATTCATTATCCAGACAGGTCTGATTCTCCAAATAATAGCGGCTGGTACTACTCACTTCCCTTTGGCTATTGCCTTTTCTTCCTCAAATATTCCAGTGCTTTTCAGCTTCAAGACCTTTGTACTTGCTGTTTCCTCAACTGGAATGTTTTTTTTTTCCAAGATCTTGGCGTGCTGGCTTTCTCTCATCCTCAACTTCAGCTAAAAAGTCACCTCCTTAGGGAGGCCTGCCTAACCATTATACTTAAAGACCCTCTTCCCACCCCCACCCCTGTTATATTTCATCACCATCACTTTGCTTATTCCTTTTAATGAGTTTATCACTCTCTGAGTACCTTGCATTGTTCATCACTGATCTCTAGCACCTAGAATGGTATCTGGCACCTATTAAGTGCTCTATAAAAACATATTGAGTGATTATATGAGACAACATTTACCCTCATTTTTATTTTTTAAAATATGTTCTTATTGATTTTTACAAAGAGGAAAGGAAATGGAGGGAGAGATCCCTACTGGGAAATCGAGCCCACAACCCAGGCATATACCCCACCTGATCTGAAATTGAACCAGTGACTTCTTGGTGCATGGGTCTATGTTCAACTACTGAGCCACACCAGCCGGGCTTTACCCCCATTTTTAGAGAAATTCTTTCCTACCTTTAATTTTCATCAACTCATTCAAATGTAAACTGGTATTATGGAAGTCCAGATAAAATCAACTTAAGACAAAAATACTGGAATGTCCTGTTGATAAGGAAGAAATTGAGGACTAGAGTTGCTTCAGCACGACCTATAGTATCCTTTCAACTTGTACTTCTGAGGCACTGCTCTGTGGGCGTCAGAGTTTCAGTGAGGCCCTTCCCCCCTTATGCACTGACCATCCAGCTTACCTAGCTCACCTGTTTCCGTTTTTCATCCTTCTAACTGATTAGTGTATGAAATGATTTATTTATTTACTATTGTTTGTTACCTATTTTTCCACCCCCACCCCACCCAGAACCACAGTGAGCTTCATGTGGGTAAGGGTCCTATTCTATTTATTCTGGTCCTGAGTAGGTGCTCAACCAGCTGTAGAATGAATGGATGTTCCAAAAGAGATAAAGGAACCTGGGAAGGGCATGAATTCTCTCTTCCTCAAGTCTTCCCAGGTTAAGATCACCCCCATTTTTGCACAGCCTACTTACTAATAGGTAAAACCTCCATGAGGTATAAATGTTTACTAGTTTATCTATTCTCAGCGTTGCTTTCCTTGTATATTTATACACCATCCTTTGTGTGCCTGTTGGTGTTCTGTATATGGATCTTTTGTTCACTCTAGAGCTTGCCTAAGGAGAGTTTAGCATCATATTTATGACATCATGATAGTATACAGTCTGATGAAGTTGAGTCCATCCTGTAAAGGCTATTTCCTCTATGAGCAGACTACTTTCCCTGAAGAAAAGTCCAGTGGTTGCTTAAAAGCATGATAAAACTGATCATCAAGAAGGTACTGGAAGCCCTGGTGGGTTTGGCTCAGCGGTTAGAGCGTAGGCCTGCGGATCAGAGTCCTGGGTTTTGTTCCCACTAGGAGCATGTACCAAAAAAAAAAAAAAGAAGAAGGTACTGGAAGAAGAGTTGCAGCAGAATACAAGAACTATAAGTATCATACCTTTTGCAGGGAGTGACTGACCACTTCAAAATCTTCCCAATTAGCAGCTGTACTTCTTTTTTAATTTCAAGTTTTCTTAGTATTACAAAATTAAAACACTGTGTTCTTGGTTATTTTTCACAAATCTATTGTCTTCATGGACAACCCCCCCACCCCCCAGTCCCTCAGAGGAAAATTTTTCTTTAAAAAAATACAGTACACTGTATTCTTTTCTTTGAAATAACTGTGGTGAGAGAAATTCTTCTCTTTAGGTTGAAGTAATGCTTTTAAATTGCTTGAGGGTGGTTACATATGAATCTTCATGTAAACTTCTATCTCTCTCATTTAAAACAAAAGATGAAAAAGGGAATTATCTCATTAATTATTTAAAATACTTGGTGCCAGTGTTCCTTGTGAATTAATTCAGGCACTTGGAAGACAGTTACACTCAGTGTTAATAACATTGCCAACCTTTTCCAGTATGCTGCACTCCAAATACTATTGTGTTTTCATTGACAACATTTACTATTACATATGCATATGAAAAACAGGCATTTTCATCAGAATTACTGTAATAGCATTAAGAGATTATTACTTTTTCCAATTTCCTTGGAAGAAAATTCACTTAAATTAGATTATTTGTTACTTGACTGCTCTCCTATCTTGCTTCTATGTTTAGGTAACTGGAGTCCATGAAAGTATAAACTTCAGATTAAAAAGCGTGATTTTATACATTAATGATTTCAAATAAAAGAGGAGTGTTAGTTTGTGCATCACTTCTTTCGAGAAAGTTAAGTCTGTGTTCTGCTTAGGAGAGATAACACTTTTTGTCCCTGTAGGTGGCCCCCCTGGTGTAGCCATTAGTTGCTAATTACATGCAAACAAATAAACAATTAACTCCTCATGCTGCTGGCTGGATGTTCATTGACATGCTAAAACTTTCTAAGACAGGATTTTAATTAGTGACGTTCTAAATCCAGCCCCCTTGTCAGCGGAGCCCTAAGGTGAACTGCAGGAAGGTTCCAGCCTTGTATGTATGGGGCAGGGCCAGCCAAGAGGTGCACAGAGTCCAGAGCTATCGACCTGCGCAGCCCACGCGAGGATGTCTCCCAGCCTCCAGGAAGGTGATCGGCCTGGGGAAAGCAAACCCTCGCCCTGCTCCTTTTCAATTGAGAGCATTTTAGGACTGGACCAGAGGAAAGACGGTGTTCCATCCTTGAAACCCCACAGGCCATGGGCAGACACCTGTAGCTCCTCAGGTATGCTTAATTCTTTAAAATCTTTTATTTCTTTTGCACTGTCTAATATGGCCTTTACTTTTATACTACAGAGAGTTAGAAAGAAACTGCAGTTTCATCCTGTTGCATAACTGAGGTATCTAGGACTGTTAATGCCTCCCACTGAGTCCTATGGGGAAATAAAAAGAGTATCAGTCTTGAATCCAAGTGAGTATAGCGTTCACTCACAGGAAATGCCAAGAACCTGCATTTAGTTCAGAAGATCTCCGTGTCTATTGGACACATCAGATATTCTAAGTCTTTTTTCACTGAAACATAAATGACATTCAGAGACCAAAAAGTCCTCTATCACCAAGGCAGGATCTTCATTTTTGTTTGCTTTTTGGTTTTTAGTTGACGAGAGGTCAGTTCTCTTGTGAAACCCAGAAGATTGCCACTAGGAAAATTAAAGACAAGTTCCTGAAATTCTTATAGAACTTTGTGGGATATAGGATTGGACTTCTAAGATGGGGTTTATTTTTCTGTTTTTAGAGAAAGATGTTAACCTATGCCTACATGTCCCGAGCCTTCCGAAAGGGATCTTATTCCCTTGTACTGTGGATCACCCAATGCCAGAAGAAAGAGTTTTGAAATATGAAAGTTACTTTTCAGACTCAGAAAGACTGTCTTTGAAAAGAGAGTTGAGTTGGTATAGAGGCAGAAGACCAAGAACTGCTTTTACTCAAAACCAGGTGGGAAGTTTTTTTCAACGAATAATGATAACACAAAGGCTTTAACTGACACCCTGTTGAGCAAAAGCCCATTCACACTGGGAGTTCAATTTTGGCCTTATTAATGAAACAACAGAATGTATCATTTTTACTAGTTTCTGGATAGTCATTTTAAAATAAAAAGACATACACATTAATTCCCCAAGATTTAAATGAAATTACTTTGCTTTACAAATTAAAGTCCATTTTATGATGATATACCAATAATCAACATTTTAAATAACTGTTTCTTTATTCTTAGATTGAAGTATTGGAAAATGTCTTTAGAGTCAACTGCTACCCTGGTATTGATATCAGAGAAGACTTAGCTCGAAAATTGAATCTAGAAGAAGACAGAATCCAGGTAATTTTCAATTATAGTTGTTATTCTTGATGATTGATATGTTAAGAATAATGAAATAGTGTTTCTGAGATCTATTTTATTTCTTCTTAATTTTAGATCTGGTTCCAAAATCGGCGTGCAAAACTGAGGAGGTCTCATAGAGAATCACAGTTTCTAATGGCGAAAAAAAATTTCAACACCAATCTCTTGGAATAGATAGAAAACTAGAAGTGAAATTATCCTCCAGTTGCAGAATATGAAGAATCAATGGAAATATCAAGTTTTCAAAATGTGATGTTTCTTTTCTGCATTTAATCTGAACATTGTCACTTTCTGAAAATATAGTGTAAATAATTACTACATCATGGTACCTATTATACTTGGGCACTTTTAAATATAATAAAGGCCTTTTCTATATATTTTAATAAACATTTTTAGAAACAGCCAGCTATTTTTTAAGTGAGCAAATTTAATCTAATAAATTAGTTTGCTAAAAATCAGCAAACTCATGACAAAATGACTCCACAAACTGGATTACATTTACAAAATAATTCAAGTAAAATAATCAAGAATTCCACAAAGGTGTGATTTGTTCCAGTTAGTTTCCTTCAAATGCATTTTGAAGCGTGATTATGTTTTAACATATTATAGAATATGATTTATTCATGAAGCTTTAATTTATCTTGATTTCTGGCATAGAACAGTGAGAATTTTCTATCATATATCAATACAAATCCTTATAGAATGCCAGTTTTAGCTTTTTTAAAAGCAAAGTCATTATACCAAAGTAGAAATATAAAAGTATCAGTTGTCATGCAAATTTTAAAATAAATGCAAATTTAAAAATAAATGCAAATTTTAAAATAGTTTTCTAGTTCATTTATTTTATTTTATTTTATTAATTTTTGTTACAGATGTTTCTCCTTTTTTCTAGTTCATTTAATGCTGTACTTTAATTTCACTCATTAAAGTAATAATGATCATCTGGCTTATATCTATTTCTAGTGTAGTGATTTCCAATCAGCTATATATTTTGTTACAAAGTAATATGTTGATTGAGAAGGTCGGATAAGACCTGCCTTGTGTATATGCTCTGACATAGTTGCTGGAAATAATCAGGGCACTTTCTGGGACAAAAACTATGTATTTCCTTTTCGTTTGTTGTTGTACCTGTCAATTAAAGATGCAAATAGGATTAAATAACATCACAAGAAAGGAGTCTTACCACTGGATATCTGGGTATTTGTTTTCCAGTTAATTAATGGAAGGCCAAATTGGGTGTTCTTTTTGAAATGTTAGCTTCAAGGCTCTGACTTGGTCTCCTGAAAGTCTGTTTCCGCTTTGCCTGTTTGAATTGAATTCTTCCTTGCTTCCCTTTTCTTTTTTCCCTTTCCTCTCTCCTTTTCTCTCCTAGTGATAATGGAGTAAAAGGTTCTTACTGAATTTTTTTTCTTTCTTTCTTTTTTTCCTATTGTAGGAGAAAGATTAGATGGAGTTTGCCTATTATTGCTGAGGACTCAGCTAATCACTTACTGAGAGCACATTTGGGGGTAGAGAGCTCTGTGTCCCAACAACTGGTCAGCAATAAGCCATGCTTATTCTGTTCCACTATTGCTGAAATGGAGAGGGAGGCGGAGGAGGAAAGAAGGACCATCAGGGCAGTAACTAAAAGACCAGAATCATTAAATGTTTTCCAGGAAAGATTCTACTGTCAGACTGGGCCACTTCTCCAATTTAAAGAGTTGCTTTCATTAATATAAGATTTGAAGCACTATTTACAAAATGGATAGTCAAAATGTATCCACCAGGAGCTTTCTTTGCTTTTCATTAGGTTCTGGTGAAACTAGAATAAGTTGGAGGACTGAAGTCATCAGGAGTGGGTTGGAGGGGAAAGTGTCACATGACGGGTAAGCTTTTTCAAATAACCTTTTATTTTAATCCTAAAGGCCATATTTACATACTGTGAGCAATTCAAGCAATATAAAAATACAGTAAAATCAAAATCTTATCATTCACCAATAACCATCACTAAACATTTCATAGATTTTTTTGTGTATAAAAGCATGTATTTATGTGTATACACAGGCACACACATGTATATATGTATTTGTTGTTTTTGCTTTTGTTATTTTTTAAAATGTATCACACTTGGTATTCTGTTCATCTTTCTGACATCTTGCCATGTCAAACATATTAGCTCTTTCTTAATGTTTGTTTAGTTTAGGATAAGATTTCAAGTCCTGTACATACAAACTATTCCACAATATTAATATTAATATATAACTCCTTTTTATTTCTTTATTGATTTTTTAGAGAGAGAGGAAGGGAGAGGGAGAGAGAGAGAAACATTGATGAGAGAGAACATCAATTGGCCGCCTCCTGCATGCCCCCAACTGGTGATTGGATCCAGAACCTGGGCATGTGACCTGACCAGGAATTGAACCAGTGACCTCTTGGTGCATGGGTCGATGCTCAACCACTGAGCAACACTGGCCAGGCAATATATAAGTGCTTTTAAGTAGTACTTTTCACAAGTGGAGATTTTCAAAGAGTAATCATAATTTATCTAGAAGTTACCTAAAATTAAATCTAACCCCCAAATCTCTGAGGAGCATGAGGATTCTTTATCAAATTACAGGCATTAGAAAAACTTTAGACAGTATCAATGCATTGCTCAACAGTTGGTAATACACTTAAAATTTTTAATTATAAAAACTGATCATACCTATAAATTGTCTGGTGAGGGAAGAAACATAGTATTTCTAGAATATCATTATCTCAGTATTTTCCAGTGCAGTTTAATCTAACTGATTTGTGTGGTTCTAAAATTCAATTTTGTCTATAACTGAAATAAGTTGCGTTTAATAGATGAAGTTATATATTCATACCTGAGATCATTTATAATAAAAATGATGCGTTTATAACTAAAACAAATAATAGAAGTCAAAAAATTTAAATACTAGAATTTATGATATTAAGGAAGCAACTATGGATGTAATTATACATTCTTTTATATTTTCAAACTAATAAAAATATTAAATATTGTGAAGTGAGTCCATAATATGTAAGAATATTTCAGAAGCAAAATAATATACAAGATTAATTATGTCTTTCCCCTAAAATAATTTCCAAAAACCTAAAAGATAAAAGCTGATCTTGTTAAAGAATATAATGAGTGAGTAACTCTTTTTTTTTTTAATCAGTTACGATTGATAGTAATTTGGAGAGAATATGTGGATACTCGAGGGGGAAAAACTGAACTTTAACTTTGAGGAAAAACCAAACACGATGAAAATGGAAATGAAAACGCAAGATAGAAGTGTCTTTCTCTCAAAACACACAGGCTCTAATCCACAGCTTATCTCTGCTCCTGTTAATTCCAAGCCTTTGTCTCCATTAATGCCTAGGACAAGGTGAACAGTAGTACAAATCAAACTAATGCAGTCGGGCTAATACCTGGAGCGTCTCTATTATCTGACCACTGCCTAAATAAGGTTATTTGGTCTCCTGTAATGGCATTTGTCTCTTGTGAAGCCAGTCAGACAAAGCCCTTCACTAAAGAGTGCTGGTGGAAACAATGGACCTGTGTGCTGGTGGTCAGCTTTTGAGTTAATCAGTGTTAATAGGTGCTTTCACCCCCTGCATCTTATCACACATCACAAGAGTGGCATAAATCCCCCATTACCACACTCAACAAATAGCATCAACCTGGGCCTTGTGCTTACTTCTAAAGGCAGGGAGCTATGTGCTAGCCCATTTACTTGATGTGGAACTCAAATCAAAGTATGACAGATGGTGACTTGTTATCTCCATTTCACGGAGCCCCATAGGACTAAAAACCCTTCCACAAACCGAGCCGTTGGCTAAATTTAATGGTCATTTTGGCTGTTCTGTCTCCTGCTGGGGCATGGCATGGCATTTCTTGGTGACTCCCACCAGTCCACATCCCATTGGATTCACCCCTTCGCATTCTCCTGAGTATTGTTTTAAAAATTCCAAACCCTTTCTGTTGTCCCTGCTAATGCTTTGGCAAGCTTGTAGGTGTCAACAGGTATTATTGAGTCCCACAAATGAACCTCCAGCCTAAAAAGTGTATTAAGTATCTTCTTTCTGGTAAAGTGACCAACATTTATAAACTTCCATGTCTGTTCTCTTCCCGCTGGCCTTCTGGGGTGGCCTAGTGGGCTATGTCTTTTATTTAGCATTTTATGACTGGGTGATTTCAGTGAAATAAATGATGTCATAGTATGTGTTCTGTTTATCACATAATAGGTTTGCAAAGAACCATGCACCTGTTATATCTGGTGGTGGTCAAGAAATTACATAACGGTGTGTCCCTTTTATAAGGCACAACTTCTATCTGATGGATATTTATGAATTTGTGTTGAGCCACCAACACTGCTTTTCCTTGATCTCTCTAGTTCAATCAAGTCAAAAAGGACTGATGGGAGGCAACCTGAGAATGTATCCAAAAGATGAGGCTAATAATAGTGTAGGGAAGGCAGGAGGGGGGTGGGAGCAGGGAGGAGGGGGTCAATGGAAGAAAAAAATGGGGGGAAAAAGATGAGGCCAGATTCTGGTTACCTGGGTTCAAACTCCAGTAACTATTTGACTTTGAGCCAATTATTCAATCTCTTTGAACCTTAGTTTCCTCATCTTTAAAATGGGGATAATAATGGGACCTATTTAATGGAATTGTTGGAGGAATTTTAATAGAGATAATGTGCTAGGGAATCTAGAAGTAGAGAAAGTTGTCTAGAACAGCGGTTTTCAATTGGTGTGCGGCAAGAATTTTTAAAACACACAATACCTGACTATTTAGTCAGGGGCACTGCCTTCTTTTCCTTTAGACTGTCAAATAAAAAACTGACAACAGCCAGCGCAACAATAGCCATCCAATGTGAATGAATCAAAATTATACCTAATTATACCAAAGAACTTGTGCAGTGAAGGCCTGGTGGGGGGACAGGGGTTTGCAGGAGCAGGGTGGAAGGGGTCAGTGGGGGAGAAAAGAGGGGACATCTGTAATACTTTCAACAATAAAGATAAATTATAAAAAATTATACATTTTTTTTCAAATTGGCAAAAAATATAATACACTTTTTGGTGTGTTGCAGAATTTTAGTAATTAGTTTATGTGTACCATTAGATGAAAAAAGTTGAAAATCACTGATCTAGAATAATATTTTCACATCTGGAACAATGTTTGTCAGAGAGTGGTTCTCAATCAATAGTCATAGAACAAATGAAAATAGTTCTTGGTCTCCAGGAGCTCACATATGTTGGAGAGAAAAGACTATTCAACACTGATTCAACAAATATTTATTGTGTGTGAGGCTCTGGAAAGAGAGTGATGAGTATGTTAAAGAAGGTCTCTGCTGTGTTGGGACTTTTTATACCTAGTGCCTGGCACAGGCGTGGCAAATAGTTGGTCCACAATAGATAGATTAACCTACCTGCCGTTGCAGCATGTGCTTTTGAAGTTGTTGATAGCCTGGAGGAGGGTGGGGACAGTGAAGATGGGAAAAGAGGGGGGATATTATAAAGAGACACTCAGAAGGGAAATTTGGCT